TTTTTTTGGGCGGCTCTATGCCGCCCTCTCGTTCCCCTAACGTGGTGGTCAGGGACCTTGGGTGCTAAAAAATTCTTTATTTCTTTATTTAAAATTAAATTCAATAAAAATTACAATTTTCTTAAACTATTTACAAATAACATCTCAATTCGAATACAATTTTAAAACTATTTACAATTTAAATTTTCCAATAAAAATACAAATAACATTACAATTTAAAATTCAAATTTTAAAAATTACAGATTAAAACAAATAAAATTCAAATTAAATGCAATTAAAATACAGTAAAATACAAATAAGATCTAAACTAATACTATTTTAAAATAAAATATAAAATACCAATTAAAATTTAAATAAAACAAGTTAAAATTAAATAAAATACAAATTGAATAATTGATAAAACATAAATAAAACAAATTAAAGGCCAATAAATATATCACAGTTTAGATCTTATTTCTACTTATCACTACTTTGGCCAAGGATCGGCAATACTCCACGAAGTGCCCGCGTGTCTTTTTGTTATTTATCAAGTTTGCTAAATTCTCCTCCACGATTTTCTCTTTTAATTTGATTTCTATTTCCGCCCTTTTGGCTGCAAAGATCGGGCACTCCGTGAGTATGTGCAGCACGGACTCACCCCGTGCTGGGTCACAAACGCAAGAGGGGTCCTCCTTGCACTTAAACTTGTGCAGATATTCGGAGAACCCCCCGTGCCCGGTTAAAACTTGAACCAGCACGGGGTCCAACTCGAGGCTCCGGATTGTAGGGTAGGCTGCTACGGCATCGGGGAAGAAGAGCTTCGTAGTTGAGGCCGTGACTCCTTCCATATAACGCCTGTTCCATTTGTCAAGCGCATCCAGACGAATCTGTCGCTTGACAAATGAAACGGGGCACCTTTCATAATTTGGCCTGGTCTTCATCCCGACTGCGGCCGCCTTTGCGAGTTCATCTGCTCGTTCGTTTCCCTCCAGCCCCGCGTGCGCTTTCACCCAGAACGCTTTCACACATTTCCCTTGCTCTCTAGCTTCTTTCAAACCTTCCCTTATGCCATTCGCGAGGGGATGGAGAGAAACGCCGCTTCTCAATGTCTCGAGCGCTGACCTTGAGTCGGAATAAAGACCAAAGCTCCTTTCATTACTTCTCACAACATACTTCACGGCCTCTCTGAGGGCCAGCAATTCCGCCTGGTAGACGGTGCAAAAGCTTCCCAGCTTTAATTTCCGGCAAAAGGTCTCCGCGGCGCCATCCCGAACAGATAACGCCGCGCCGACTTTGCCGTCTATTTTGCTACCGTCGGTGTAAATATTTACCTCGACGGCAGCTCGCTGGGCTGCTTCGTCACCGCCGGCCAGGCATTCGAATTGCAGACCCTCTTGCAGCGCGGGGTGCGCAGACTCTTCAAACTTTACCGGCCTCTCGAGCACAAGGTCTCCCAACACTTGGTGGGTATGACCCTTTTTTACCAAGTAAAAGAGGGCCG